GATCATCAGTTATCCAACTGCATCCATTTATGGTCCCTGAACGAAACAATGGCGTTGTCTGTAGGAATCAACAAATTCCTACAATTTCCATAATTTTAAATTCAAATCTCTGATTTACCAGTTTGTAACCTCTCTAGCTCACCAAATCAAGAATACTTAGAAGCGAGCCCGAAGGTTTCTCACAATAGATTCAATCATAGAGATTTCTAAGATAAGCCTGAGATTTAGGGTTCATCTTCCGATCTAACAACACCGGTGTCTCCCCCCATTGATGTGATACCTACAGTAGCGTCGTCAAAGATATGACGAGTTTATATTTAATTTATCAAGAAACAACAAGCTCATAGTTAATGTAGGGCGTGGATTTGGTAGAGAAACACCTTATATAGGTACCAAAGGATCTGCGACCAGTGGACGAGACTTCCTCAAATAGGATTCAATATTTCCCTTCTTGCTTGGTCTAGTCTCTCTAAGAGAGTAGACCCGAAGGAATCACATAGGGAACAAAGGCGTATGTGCATAGATACGGTATGCCCGATAGTTGTAGTAGTTCCCTCAGGGCCATGATGCGAATGAGATTCCTTGTACACAACACCCCCTAAGGGAAATTACCCAACTTGGATAAGCTGACATTCACATCCCCATGGTCAAGCCATAAAAGGTGAATGGGATTCACTAGCTATAAGATCGAGGAGAAGGAACCCCAGACTATAGAAGCTACCTTCGATCACCACTTGGCTTCGTCGTTCTAAAAGAAAGACTGGACTAGAAGAACACTTTGAGCCTCAACCAGAGGTCAATGGGGAAGGTCTTTCAAGGAACGTCGTCCATATTGAACTGTCCTCCTAGGTTTAAGGGAACCCAATCATAAAATCATATCGCTTATAAGAAAATTGTTAGTCACCTACCGACCGCTTGGGGTAGGTATCCATCATGGGGCAAGATGAGAGTCGAAACGCTCTATACCCACGATCAGAAAGGGCCTCACCAAAGTATTCGATAACAAAAATTCCAGGGGTCATAAGGTTTCAATTATCGTGTTCATATTATGTCCCTAGTGAATCCAACCACCCAATGATACATTTTCGGGTAAATATAAGGCGGGGTGCCCTGATGTCTTGTCCGACTGAAGGAGATGCCATAAAGAAGATAACACACTTTCTAGAGCCCCAAAGGAGGATAGGCATCGAAACTCGGAACATCCCCTTCCACACAATAGAGTTACTATTGAACGTTTATTTATCCAGTCATTCCATTATTTTCTTTCAACAAATTAAATTTACTATTATTATAAACATTTATACATCTTGTCTTTCTTCCTCTTTTGTATCTTTCCTTGTATCTCTTTCATTTATAATGCTCAAGACGGGGTAGGTGAAATACATGATCATGTATCCGATACAGAATAAATGCATTTATTTAATTCTGGTATGGCTTAAACGTATTCCTTACGTGACTGCGTAGAACACTAAAGACACCGAACAAATATAGCAACAAAAAATGGTAGCTAACATCTTCCAGAATGCTAAGTCACAACTCACAAAGCAGAAAAGCTTGAAGAATGTCCTTTCGCAGCTGACATGGAACAGACTAAAGGCTCCCCTGATGAACACCAGTGATACCACTGGGAAAGACAAAAATTAGCATTGTAAAGCTAAAAAGAAAGCCATAGTGTTCAAAAATTCGAAAATAACCAGAGGCGCAACATAACAACAACAATAAAATGAAGCCAAATACAGGGTTATAAGCTAAACTATGGACACATCATTGAGGTAAAAATATTTTGATAAATGTTAATAATTATTACACCTAGGGTGCACAATCTTGGGAAACGTTGTAGGAAATAAAGTAATATAAAGGAAAAGAAAACCAAGTCAAAGCTTCTGGAGCCTAGGTGTCATTACCACCCTCTTTAGCCACCCCAAAATCAGCTTGGAATGAATTCAGTGCCTCGACCAAAATTATGGCATCATGGCATAACTTCCTCGCTTGTTCCACAACTTGGTCACAAACCCTAAGCATAACTTGTATAGTCCACTGAAGGGAATCATGAAGCACTTGCTTCAAACCAAAAACTTCGTCTTTAAGGGATTTCAGGGTCTCTGCATGAGTTTCAGCTTCCTGAATAATAGTCTTATGATGCTCCTTCACTTGTTGAGTCTTCTCCTCAACAACATCAAAGGCATCCTGATACCGCTTCTTAGCCAATTTAAGGGCATTCTCCAGCTTAATTGATCGGGCATCCAGAGTAGTAGGGGAGTCGTGGATTTTTGCCTTTTCTTTCAAAGAGTAAACAACATTGACCTTCTCATGCAGTGGATCAAGATTCTTTTAGAGAGTAGAGCACCTTAGTTTCATAGCTTCACATTTTCCTTTCCAGGTGTCCCTTTATTTGGTAGGATTGTAGGGAGCTAAGAGATATCCCCTGCTAGTAGAAATAAGGGAAAATAGAGAAGCAGCCTTAAACATACTATGAGTAATCTTCGAGACGAGTTTCATCTTCTCCCCCTCAAGGAGATCCTGAACGAAGAAAAAATCAGATGTCAAGATAGTAGTGGTAGCCTCTTTAGGGGTGTGAGCAAGTCGGGAAGATAATACATGTAGAATCTACGTGAAGGGAGTTACCTCCCCTGAGGCATCATCCCCATGACACATGTTTGTTTTGAAGAACCATCTTCCTATAAGGACTGATGAACTTCATCCCGAACCCTCTTTGTTAAAATTGGAGGTGAGGTCGACTCCCCTAAATTTAAAGTGGCTGCAATATCCATCAGTTGATATACCTATGGTGTAGAACTAAAATTCTCCATAGCCAGGACAGGAGAAGGGGCCAAAGTAAGAGCATCAATTAACGAAGGAGTAGGTACAGAAGTAACATTCCTAGTATTTAGCATGACCTGAATAGCGTGAGCATTTCCAAGGTTGTATAACATCTTCATCTTGTTCTCTTTTTCCATGTTATCTGCAAAAAGAAATCACACATGTAAAAAAATCACGAGGACTCCGCACTCACTAAATATTGTTGTCCTCTCCTCCTGTTTGAATGCACTCACAATGGCGCTAGTGTCAATTAGCCTTTTTCTCACCTCGTTAAGGGGCACCTTACTAGGGCTGAACCTTTCCTCATAACTAAGTATCTGAAACCCAAAATGCAGGTCCTTTTTCATCTTCATTTTGTCCAAAGAAAGGGAACTTGACTTACTATAGTAAGAATGTGCTTTTTGGTTAAAGTGGATTATAAACCAGTACCTTGAGTATAAACTCCAACATAAGCAAGGAGAATCGGCAGAGAGATAGTAAAAAACACGATGGGCCGCAGGTGTGAAGGGCTTTACCAGCAAAAATCACCCTAGAAAATTACCATTAGTCTAAATTAAAGGGGTCGAACCAATGATTGATCTGGTGGAAGCTGATGAGCCACTGATTATAAAAGTTATCTTGTGAGGTACGCTTTGGGTGGAACAAATCAAGAAATAATCCAAGGGAAGCTTTCCAAGTTTTATGCTTGGCACGCAGCTAAAATACCCTTATGAACGCCCGAGACCCCAGATGAAGGTGGGAATGGGAAACTTTTAAATACTTCAAAGTCAGAAAACGCAATCGCATTCCTATTCGTGTGAATAGACACTCATAGAGCGAGATCACGTAGTCCTCAAAAGAATTGCATATCCTTTCTTCCGACTCAATTGGAAGAACCGACCATTCCAAGGGATCACCGACCATAATTCTGACATCATCTATAACAACCACATTGCTCATAACAAATGAAGTGCTCACTGTTTTCGTGGCTGCACAGTTGTACTCCACTATGTTTGATCGATCTCAAAGATCCAAATGGGCCTTCACTTCAGCGTCGCTAGGCTCACAACTATCAATCCTCAGACGAAGCTAAATATAATCTTTAGTGCGTCTCTCTTCTTCCAGTTGGCTTGTATATCCTCTTCGAACAAGATGTAGGGGGAATAGGAACCTCATTGTGATTAACTTCTCCGCCAACATTTGGTAAAAAGGCTTTTAATGAGCCGAATAAGAAATTTCTTTCTCCAAGGAACTCCCAGATACCCTTTCCGAGTCTGAATCATCAGATAAAGATATGATTTTTAATCCCATATGATTGAGACCAAGAGGGGGGAAACGAGAATTAAGGGACGTCAACGCACGTGTCAGAAGAGGGTTATGAAACATTTTAATGATGAGACTGCATTTAGTTCGCTTGTTTCTCACTACTTTTTCAACTGACTCAAAACATTTTAGATCTTGCTTACCCCATATAACATCCTAGAGACCAACCAATATCACTTAAGGTTTTCCTCGACTCCTTCAGTGCCATGCAAAATTTTAGGGGAATCTATTCTGGAACGGTCAAAGGCCTAAATAACTAAGGACAAATTCATCTTAAATTCACTCCATTTGACCCAAGGTATAAAAACAATTCACGCAAAAAACAATGTACATTTTTTGATCTCCACTTCTCACTACACTCGTCTTAAATCTTGAACTGACCTAGACGTTGGAGTGTTAACCATACAGGTCCACGCTGCGCTGCCGTAAAGGATATCAGCACCACCATTTAAGATTATCAGTTCTCCAACTACATCTATTTTTAATTCCGAATGAACGGAACAATAATCCATAAAGTAAAGACCACATCACCTGCTAAGGTGATCTATAGCGTAAATAGTGTAAATTCATACATGAACAATTTACTAATAGCAAAAATGTTAGGCATGTACATATCAGTTCTAATAGTAATAGAAATTGATTAAAATAGGCTCTCATTTTTGCTTCATAGAGAGTAACCACCAATCACTTTATTATAATAATGGTTATACACTTTATTTATACATGTTGATCTCTTATTTGTACAACAAAACCAACGTGGCCAACTATACATATGGAGGGGATACTAAAACATTAAAGCCTCTTGAATATGTGTCATTTTAGCATCTCACATTATGTCTATAGAATATTGTCTCTAGAAAACTAGGAGAAGAAGTACTTCAAATTGTTGCTTGATGCAGTCGCTTTTGAAGCAATGTATGAGTGTTGTTCCATAACTTTTGAGCTTCTAATTCATCATTTGCTAAGCGAGAACACTTCCTCTCATTACAATCTGTAAAGTACTTTCCACTCACCCCTTCTATTTTTGGACTCAAAGCCACATAACATGTTGTTGATGCACCCTGTGGTGTAGATTTGAGTAACTTTGATGCAATAAAAAATAAGGAATCTGCATGGAAGTTTCATATGTCACCATATCCAACTTTTGCTTAAATGAAATTAATGTAACTTCATATACTTAATTATTTACCTGTTATTAAGCCCTTGTTTATAATTCTTGTCTTCACAATACCAGGATGAACTGCATTCATAGTTACTCTTGCATTCCTTGCCTATAATCATATATTACACTTTTTTTCAATTTTTCAGTAGGGACCAATATGCATTAATGCATAGAAAGTTTTGCTTTCACTTTCTTATAGCATCATGATGATCATATACATTCACAAATGAGACAATAAAGTTTCCAGTTTCTTTCTAATTAATCTATCTAACCTTGAGTTGTCTAGCTATTTCTTTCGCATGCAAAATATTCGCCAATTTCGATTGAGCGTAAGCTCGCGTTCCATTATAGCTGCAATTTTATTGCATTGCAAATGAGAAACGAGAAATGAGAAATGAAAAATGCAATGATAAATATTTAAATTTAATGAAACTAAAAGTGTTTATACTAGTACTAGTACTTTTTTCCATTGAGTATGTGTGTGAAACAAAAACCATTTCTCTTCACCCAGCTATGTATGACAGAAGAAACGTTTATTATTCTTCCTTCAAAACTTGTTTTTTCTGCTGTTTCAATCATTTTGTCTAATAAGATTTCTGTCAACAAAAAATGTCCTGCAATTCAATTCAATAAAATATGAACATCATTTCATTTTTAACTATTAATTAGCTAGAGTTTTAATAAGAAATTTTACCTAAGTAATTTGTAGCAAATGTCATCTCAATTTTTTCTTCAGAGAATTCCAAATCTTGAGAGAATATGCCAGCATTGTTTCTGTATATAATATAATATAATATCATGAAACATGATTATACTTTTTCACTTTTTCTTTCACAATGATAATTAATAATTAATATGATAAGAGAACTTACATTAGAATATTAAGTGGAAGATTTAAAGCTAAAAACTCAGAACAAAATCTTTGTACAGAACAAAAAGAGCTAAGATCAATCTCCAACAGAATAACCTCAGCATTTGGGCTCTCTTTTTGAATATTCTCTCTCACTTCTCTTCCTTTCCTCAAATCCCTTGCACCAATCACAACTCTCACTCCTCTTTTTGCTAACACTCTAGCTGTTTCTGCTCCAATACCAGAAGTCCCACCTTTATTAAAAATTCAACTTCATTAATTATATCCTGTGAACTGAACACAGACACTGACACAGACACACCTATTTTCAGAGGTGTCAGTGCCACAGAAACTATATCACACAATTATGGTTATACGAGACTTACTTACCAGTGATGAGAGCAGTTAGATTGGAAGGAAAGAAGTGAGAGCAGTTTTGAGTAACTTGTTCAGCAGTTGAATTTGAGCCAAAGCCACTTGGCCCGGCAATTCCTGCTAAGTATCTCAATGTTGCCTTCATGGGATTTTATTATTATTGCAAGACAAGAAAGAGCATTTAAGGTTGGGTGGGACTCAAGAATTCATATATCACATATATACTGTGTAAAACTATATATGATATGATGATTTTTATATTTACTGTGTAAAATTATTGTTTAATCCTAGGAGCAATCTACCTAGGGTGATATGTACCTAACAAGTGAAACTTGTTTCTCTCAGAAGCTTAGAACATAATGACAATGTTTTAGCAACATCATTGGTAAAGAGACAAGTAGTATACTTGATGGTCCACAAACTATGTGATTAGACTAATACTACAGTGTAACCAACATATAGTGTGACATATGTTTGGTCCCTACATCATTTGGTCTTCAATTCAAGTTTTGATTTGTCTGCAAAAGGTCGTAAATTCTAGTTCAACAGTCAAAAACTAATATTGTTATTACTCAAGTTTAAAATTAAAATTTTTATAGCAGTTATTATCACTTCGTCTATTTAAAAAAAAATGAGTTTTTTAAATGAATCTCAATTATGTCTATAAGATCTTCAATAGCATAATTATGCTTCTGTACTGATAAAAAAAGTGGATAATAATGGTTAATTAAGTAACCACAAATCATTAAATGAAGATTACCACTGAAGTTAAAACTAAATGCCCTCTTCATTTTATCTTATTGGTTTAACTTTTTTTTAGTGGTGTGTGTGTGGATCCAATTTGGTGCACTTCCTAATTACAATACAAAAGTGTCATCATCTTATCTCCTTTGTCATCTTTTCACAGAATTGGAGAAAAGTTTATCATCTTATCGCTGTCAAAGTTTTACAAAATTGAAGCAAAGATTCCTTTTTGTTTCGGACCATATATGGTTGGATGTTTGTGTTGAAACTAATGGTATATCACCGTGGTTTGTTATGTTAATTAGTGAAAGTATGGCCACTGAAAACCATAATATTATCGTATATATCACCATAATTAATAACTAATGGTTAAAAATTAAAAGTGATAAAAAAAAAAATCTATTTTGTAAACACTAATATAATTAGTTACACTTAGAATGTTGACGCGTGAGACAAAAAATCATAACAACAATCAAGTTTTATACCACTAAATGGAGTTGGTTATATAAATTAACTTTCGCCATAATGTTTTATTTAAAATCATGTTTTTATCTAAATTGTTAAATTAGAAATCTTTCTTAATAACTTCTCTGATAATTTTTCTAGGTCTTCCTTATCCTCTAGTTGTTTGACTTCTCTCCATCTGATTTACTATACTTACCACAAAATCTATAGGTCTTCTATCTACATACTCAAACCACCTGAAGGCTCTAAAGATTTGACTAAAATTTTGGTAAAACATGATGTTGCACAAGATGTTCCAAGAAGAAGAAATCTGCTGAAGGAAGACATGTCAGTCAAGATGTCCTAGCATTGTGGACTCGACATTCTGATCTGGTGCAACATATTTGTTGCAGATCAGGTCCAAGATTTAAGGAGCAATCAGAACATAAGTCAAGAGAAGATTAAACAAAGACTTCGAAACCCATGGACAACTAAAGGCTTTAAAAGGAAGACCAAAACTTAGGGTAGAATAAGAATTCTTATTAAGACTTTTGTAAAAATAGAAAATAAGAACTTAAGGTTTTGAGAGTCGTGTACTTTCTTGTATTGTAAGTCACCATCTATATTGGTTGATATATTGTGGTAGACATAGTTTTACAGATTTAAAAACCTATAGGTAATGAATTGTGTATTGTTCTTGGATGAAACCTTTAAGCAAATCCCTACTTGATTATTAGTCAAGATCTTGACTGAATATTATATTGGAAGGAATGTTTTTTAATTGAACAGTCTAATGCAGTTGTTGGAGATTGTAACTGTTAGATATCACTGAGGTGATTTAAGAATTAAAATGGACTTCTCTTATCTAGATGGTGATTTTTAGATAGAATTGTATTGGGTATGGATTAAGTGATGAGTTATAAACGGGGGAGTTTAACTCTAAATTAATACTACTAATAGTGAATTCATTCTTGCCTTGGTAGCCCCCAGATGTAGGTGATTTGCACCAAACTGGGTCATCATATCTTGTGTTATTATCATTTTGTTATATTATATTCAGTTTGTATCTATACTCTGAAGTACATGTTTTGACAAATATTGAAACATCTATCATGACACTGTTTTGACCTTGAAGGTTCAAAGTGTTCTTGATTTTAAGAGAACATAATGTTTATGTCCTTGTTCAGTTTTTAGCAGAGATCAATGTCTTAACATCTCTCAGGACATCTGTGATCTGCTTTCCAGAATTTCAATTGGTATCAGAGCAGGCATCATGTTCTGCATCTAGATGAGTTCTAGGGAAGATAATTTATGGTCTGTTGAACAAGGAAGGACATTGTATGATCATATCATCCATTACTGTTGTGTTCAAGGGGATTGAAAGCTAGGAGAATAGATTTCTGAATCTGACCTGATATCTTCTGATGGTTGACTAATTCTTTGTGAAGATTCTACCACCGTTGTTGATAATGATGTTATTGTTATGCATGGTGCCTTTTAAGATGGTCTGACATCTTACCTGGTGCACGTTGAATATGGTATCAGTTTCTATCGCCGTTCCTGCTGTTTCTTGTTAGGTGTAATAGACATGATAAAACACTATGACCTGGAGTCCTCTGAAGGATCTTTCTGTGTTGCTTGTGAGATAGTTCCAATCAGGTAACATGAAGAGAAATTGAAGGAAAGAGGTTGAGTTGAGGGCTTGTGTATCCATTGGATTTGATAAACACTCTATGTCATGATTTGCCTAAGATACTTTAGTTGTCTCTCAAGTCCACTCATAAGGCAATTCTAAATGTGTTTGTCAGAAGTAGATGGTCAAGTGGTTGCTTCAAGGATACTTGAAAAGACATGAGATTGTCATACCAAGGAGGGATGTAAATCTAAAGAATATAAAATTTGATTTAAAATCAATTTCTATTTGTTACCTTAGCAAGTATTTAGTTGGTTATCCTTTTTACTTGATGTTCAAGAAAGATGATCTCACAACTGAAGGTGCAACTTCAGACATTACAAGAATTCAAGATCCAATGTCTTGTTCATGGGAAAAGGACCTGATGTTCAACCAAATATTGAAACATCAATTCTGAAGAGTATGGGCAGAATCTTGTTGTTCCAATGAGTGATATTCTTGGACAAGGAGAGAAGCATCATTTGTCCTGGAGGATAAACAAGTGTGTGTTGGGAATCTTATTTAGATTGGTCTTGAAGAGTCTTCGAGTCTGTTATCTAGGAAGCCTCTACCCAAGAGTTGTATCTTGTACATGTATTCTGGTGAAGATAAAGATCGACATCATTTTCTTTGGTGAGTTTTTTTTAGGTCAGTTTATTTTTGATCTGAAGCTAGACTTCTGTTACTCCATTGAAGGATCTTGCGACGTACTTTATACTGAAGGGTTGTAGAGACATCTCGACAAGTTTCTGTTCACATGGATGTCAAGGAAACATGTCTGGGACATTCACTTTGACATCTTGAAGATTCTTATGGTCTTTCAAAGTTGGATATGAGTGATCTTGTTGATAGTTATGACTACATATTCTCTTGGTTTGAGTCTGGTGGGGACTCTGGTCATATGTGGATCATTTCCTTGGAAAGTTGTGCTTGAGGCAGATTGTCATCAGGATATTTGAGTTATCTTGAAAAGGAATAGTTGTTGTTTTTCCATTTATATGTACAAGATGAATGTTGTTTACTCAAACTTTATTTCATAATCAAGTCTATGAGAACATGAAACTCTTTTTCTGTTATGGTGGAAAAGCTATTCAAGATGGGATAATGTCTGGAAGTCTAAGGGTCTGATCTTCAAGACGGGTTCAGGCATATGGAGTTTCATCAGTTGGCTAGTCAAGTCAATGATGTAAATCAAATGTTCTGACATTGGACTGAACATTTCGATGTTTATGCTGAAGTCATTGGTGTGCATTGGAGCTGTATCATCTTGTATGTACTAATCTTCTTAGTAATGGTTGCTTTCCAACTTTTTGATTGGTGCTAAAGTCTATCTAAACCTTTGTGAATCATGCAATGGAAAAATCTCAAGGGAGTTGTTGATTGCTTGGTGTTTTCATATCTTATTCTTGGAGTCTCATCTAAGGTATTTTGATATGAGTGTTCCAAAGGTCTGTCTGGGAAATGGGGTGTTAGTACTGGAAGTTCCAGTTCTGTTGGTGTTCCCACGTGATCAAGAACCCTGTGAAAGGTATTATGATTGGTTACTCTGAAGGAAAGTTTCTTTTGAGTGTTCTCTAAGGAACTACCTACTCAAGTCTATTGCTTAATAGTGCTTATGTACTTTGGCTTGTGGTGTATTGTGCATAGTGGTGGATAAAAGATTGAAGGGCAGAGGAGAAGCAGACCTCGAAGAGAAGTCTGTTTTTGTTGCTCAATCTATATCTTATGCTTATTGTCAGCCATATTGGTATTTGTCATAGGGAATCTCCTCTTTGGATGCTTAATGATGGGTGTTGGCTTTGTAATGTCAAACAGGATGTTTGAACATTATGCTTCTGTCATGAAGCTTCCCGAGGCTTTAGAGATTTTATTTCTCTTTGTGGTATTATGCCTCCTATGATGATCTATGAGATGCTACAATTGTGATCTGTTGGGATCCTCTTATGGTCATTACAAAAGGAAGTGTATGGATTACCATGTAGAGTGTTATTCCTATGGATGTTGATTCCGGAACCAAAGCAGATAAGGATGATGTTTTAACTTGTGGGTGAAACATCATTTTAGTTGTTTATCTCTTCAGAAAGGAAAGTTTTGGCTCTCGCTAGTTGGATTAGAAGTGAACTATCTATTCATTGTGAGGTATGATCAAGACTTTGTTGAGTTTGATTATCTATGTGTAGGCGGTTGGTTATGCTGGAAGTATCTCTTAAAGAAAGAGTATCAGACTGAACTTGAGAAGGAGACATGCTGAGGAGTTTCTTCTTCATTTGGTGAAGGGGTTTGAT